ACCGCCCAACAACCGGCCGCTATTCTGTGAGCAAGCGGTGCAAGGCCCGTACAGCACCGGTTCTACCGGTTTCTGCCCGAAGACCGGTACAACCGCCCCAACTTCCGGTACAACCGCTGACTCCTTCGACGCCCACATCCAGAAGCCAGCGCCCGACACCCAGCGGTAGTACCGCCTTCCACGACCGGAACTACCGCCCCTCAGGAGCTCTCAGCGGTACTACCGGCCCCATGACCGGTACTACCGGCCTGCCTGCGCGAAGTGCACTTACCCCTTCGTGACTTAGCACTATATATACTCGTCTCCTAGCTTCGTATTATGGTTAGCACTGGATTAGCTCATATTTGTGAGAGAGCCTTTGCTCATCCACTTGGATACTTCTCCTCGGAGTTCAGGACCTCTTCGGAGAAGATCCCCCAAGCAGATTCAAGCCCCCTTTCTAGGGAAGACCCCCAAGACCTCCGTTAGGAGATGAACTGTCCTTTGTATCCTTACCTTTGTTGATTGTGGATCATATGCATCTCTTTGTGTTCGGTGATCTAGCACTCGTGTGATTGATTCTATGTCGGTTGAGTGTTTCTCTTGTTCTCCCCGTGTTTTCCCTCTAGTTCTTCCGCGTGTTCTTCGTGATTCCCCGTAGTATCCCTCCAAATGTGAAAGATCGACCACTTAGGGTTCTGCCCTACATCAACTGTGTAGCCCCTTGTTCTTGTTTTGAGCATTCAATTTGCCGGCCTGTTTGAACACCCATCAATCTCTGTTAGTGTGATTGGCTGGTTTGTCGGGGGTGCCGTGAATTTGGCACGAGCGGTCGAGTATGCGGTCCAGACTGGACGATCCCAGATTGTTTCTTTTGAACGGCTTTTTCCACTGACCGGATTTTGAGTTGCTGAATCCGGCATTGACTGCCGTATCTTCGATATTGTCTCCATTATTTCGACGCTTATGTCTATTGCGCCGTGGCTTTCCGTTACTGTCGCGGACATCTAAAGTGCCGGGGTTTCTTGGCGTGGTGCCACTACGAGCCAGCTAGCTGTCCTCGCCCACGCAAAAGCGGGTCATGAGTGTCGTGAGGGACGCCATGGACTTTGGCTTTTCTTGGCCCAGGTGTCGGGTGAGCCACTCGTTGCGGATATTATGCTTGAAGGCCGCCAGGGCCTCGGTGTCCGGACAGTCGACAATTTGGTTATTTTTAGTTAGGAACCAAGTCCATAGTTTCCTGGCTGACTCTCCGGGCTGTTGGGTAATGTGACTTAAGTCATCAGCATCCTGTGGTCGCACGTAAGTACCTTGGAAGTTGTCGAGGAATGCGTCCTCAAGATTTTCCCAACTGCCGATGGAGTTCGCCGGCAGGCTATTCAGCCAATGTCTAGCTGGTCCTTTGAGCTTAAGGGGGAGATGCTTGATGGCATGTAGATCATCACCACGAGCCATGTGAATGCGGAGAAGGAAATCTTCGATCCATACCGTGGGGTCTGTTGTGCCATCATATGATTCGATGTTGACGGGTTTAAACCCTTCTGGGAATTCATGATCCATTACTTCATCGGTGAAGCAGAGGGGGTGTGCGGCGCCTCTATGCCGGGCTATGTCACGACGCAGTCTGACTAAGTCTGGTCGGTTATGTTCGGCCTGGCCGGACTTATTATTGGTGTATCCGGCATGACGGTCATTGTCATGTGCTGTGGCGCGCCCCCATGATCCGTAGATCAATCTTGGTTGTCCTGCGTTATTTTCCAATATGTCTCGTAGGTCCTGCGTATTGCCCCGGGCCGCGGTGAACTGGCGTGGGGGTGCGGGCTGGTATTCGGCCTGATACGCCGTTTTATCCCGGCCACGAGGTGGCCGGTCAGCCTCGTCTTGTGTTGGTAGTGTAGGCTCTACGGCCTCCTCCTCTAGTTGAGTTAGCAACTTGTGCTTTGGGTAACCCTTGGTGGGGGCTCGAGTATGTATTCCTTGGCTGCCAGGACCTCGGTCCATCTGTCTCTGAGCAGATCTTGATCAGCTTGGAGCTGTTGCTGCTTCTTTTTCAGGCTTCTCGCAGTGGCAATAAGCCGACGCTTAAAGTGCTCCTGCTCTATTGGATCTTCGGGTACGCCGAATTCATCGTCGCCGAGGCTCACCTCGTCTTCGGAGGGAGGCATATAGTTGTCATCATCCACGTATCCGTCCGTCGCCTGTTCCTCTGGGCTGATCTGCCCGTATTCCTGTTCGGCCTGTTCAAAGGTAGGCTGATCAGGATTGTATTCCTCTTCGGCACCATCTGGATTGTTTTCTCCTGTGCCGATATTGCTATGGCGGGGCTCGGAGCGGCGCCGATGACGCCCATGCTTTGGTTTCTTCCCTAAGGGGTTATCTTCTGTTGCCTCATCGCCATTGTTTTCTTTGGGGGTGTCCATCATGTATATATCATACGAAGAGGTGGTTGTCCAGCGTCCTGTGGGCGGTGGTTCCTGTTCTTCTCCCGCATCGTCGTTTATACCGTCGATGTCTTCGGAGTCGAAGTCAAGCACGTCGGTCAAATCATCGATAGTGGCTATTAAGTGGGTGGTGGGTGGGTAACGAATTTCTTCGTCGCCTGCTTCCCATTCGAGTCGGACATAGTTCGGCCAGGAATCTCCTATCAGAGAGAGATAGACCTTAATGAATTTAGCACATCGCCAAAGGGGGAGTGCTGAAAGATATCCGCGGCGGTGAACTCCATTACTGGAGCCCAATCGGACTCGATGGGCCCGGACGCGCGCGGTTCGAAACCCGAATCCGGACACAAGTCCGGGGGTCTGGTGACGCAGATTCCCTTAACGGTGGAGTATGTGTTCGGCTCTACCGCCGAAGAGTATGCGGCCTCCATGGTGGGGTCCATCCACCCGTCCTCGGACGACGCGATCAGCCCCGGATTTAGGTCCGGAGTAGCTGCAGGGGCGATATCCCAAGTACTATCCGACAGCAGATTTAAGTCGTGCTCGTCGCGACTGTTCGGCGCTCCTGATATGGGCCCGAATCCGTCGAAGATCAAGTCTCCGCGGATATCGGCCGTTTAATTCAAGTTACCAAACCTGACCTGATGGCCAGGGGCGTAGCTGTCGATCTGCTCCAGATGGCCCGCAGTGCGAAGCCGCCGAATACGAAGATCTGTCCGCGGAGAAAAGTCTCGCCCTGGACTACGTTGTTGAAGGTTGAGGGAGCCATCGAGCCTTACAGCGACGACACAGAGGAACTCTCAATGAAAGCACCAATGTCGGTGTCAAAACCGGTGGATCTCGGCTAGGGGGCCCCGAACTGTGCGTCTAAGGTTGATGGTAACAGGAGGCAAGGGACACGATGTTTTACCCAGGTTCGGGCCCTCTCGATGGAGGTAATACCCTACTTCCTGCTTGATTGATCTTGATGATATGAGTATTACAAGAGTTGATCTACCACGAGATCGTAGAGGCTAAACCCTAGAAGCTAGCCTATGGTATGATTGTTGTTGTCCTACGGACTAAACCCTCCGGTTTATATAGGCACCGGAGGGGGGGTTAGGGTTACACAGAGTCGGTTACAAAGAAGGAGATCTAACATCCGAATCACCAAGCTTGCCTTCCACGCAAAGGAGAGTCCCATCCGGACACGGGACGAAGTCTTCAATCTTGTATCTTCATAGTCCAACAGTCCGGCCAAAGTACATAGTCCGGCTGTCCGGATACACCCTTTATCCAGGACTCCCTCACGTGGGATGAGCTCGTGGTCGACGGATCCGGAGGTGAAGGACTCGTATCCACTGCCCGCCATGCCGGAGACGACCGGATGATGCCGGGGACGAGCTTGGGTGGCGAAGTGGAGTGGAGTGAAGTAGCTAGGGTTTGGTCCGATGAGCGGATGGGGAGGAATATATGTGGGGTCAGGTCGACCGGCGTGGGCCTGGTTCGACGTGGCAGGCGTGCCCGGGCGCCCCCATATCCGCCCCATATTTGGGCTCGATATGAGGGGTGCCGGTCAGTCCGGGCGTTTGAGGCCCGTTTGAGGCGCCTGTCTAGGTCTAAAAACTTTGCCACCTGAATACTTGATTCATTAAGGTCGTCACTCTATATCCGGAAGTCTCTATCGTTTTCTTTGTGTGTTAAGCTTCACAGGGTTGGGACTCCCTAAATTAAACTGCAACCGTTGCGACCGGACAGTAACCGGGCGACCCATTGGGGCGTATAAAGCTGGTTTGAGGCGCCCGGCTGTAGATGCTCTAAAACTGATATTCCTATAAATCCTCCAAAAACTTGTTTTCTAAATCTCACATCTAATTCCCTGTATCCAAACAACCACTCAGGGTTACTTATGGGGGGAAAAGGTAAATACTATTTATATCCGAGATCAGATCAAAGGTAATCAACCTTTTTTTTCCTCGCGCCGTTGCCGGGAAACATCTTTCCTACCGTAGATAGCTGGCTAGAATTTTTGTTTTATTTTTTACTTTGTTTCGTCAAACATGATTTTTGATCCGTGATGGGCCACGCCCCTATACATATTTAGAAGTGTACAAGCATTTAAAAATGATTCATTCCAATTTTGAAAGTGGTCACAGATTTTTTGTAAAAAATAGAAAAACCCCACAAAAATAATAATAAATAAATAAATTATAAAAAGAAAAGCAAATAGAGAAAAACGGCACAGGAAGGAAGCCGAGTGCTGTACACCCAACCGGGAAAACCCCCCGGCGTAGGCGGTCGAGCGGGCGAGCTGGGCCGCCTGGGCGAGAAGCAGAGCGCTGTACACACCCAACCGGAAAGAAGACCCAATCGGCAAAAGGAACCAGCTTCAGCTTGGCGGTCCATCGGACGAGCTGTTGAGCCCCAACGCACGGAATAAAAAGAAGAGGAACTGGCGTATGACCTAGATCGAACGGCCTGGGCTTCTCTGCGCCTACACAGCCCTCCCTCCTACGCCGTCTTCTGCTTCGTCCAGCATAACCCCCAAAACCACCTCACCCGAGAGAACAGGCGGCGGCGGCGGCGGCGGCATCGGGCAAGATGATCAAGAGGCGCTACTTCAGGCAAGACCACGGCGACAATAGCGCCTCCTCGTCCTCCTCCTCGTCGGGTTCAGATTCGGACCGCGACCCCGCGGAAGAAGAGGTCTCGGAGGAGGAAGTAGAAGAGGATCAAGAACAAGTAAAAGAAGAAGAAGATGATGATGAAGAAGCGGAGGTGGAGTCGGGGGAAGAACAGGAAACGGAAGTAGATGAGCAGGCGGAAGATGAGGGTGAGCTCTTCTTTATTACTACTATCTACTTGGTGCCATTTACATGCGCTGTTCAGGTCATTCTCCATGCGTCATGCGTAGCCGATTTGTTTGTACTAGTGAATTTGCTCACTTTGATTCCATGGACATATTCGACTTTGATTCCATGGACATATTCGACCTGTACTATTGCTTCATATACTGAGCGTGCAACCCTCAGAGGGTGATGTCATATTAAAACCACCGGAGTAGAGTAATCATCATTTGCTGTTGTTGATTTGCTCTGTCCTGCCAAAGCCTCAGTATTTGTTTAATATTCTTGCATGGTATATCTGTTGCATGTTGTTGGTTTTGATGGTTCACGAATCACTATAATACATTAATGTGCAGATATTGTAATGTGTTCTTTTTCTCATTGGTTGCTCCTGTCTATCAGGTTCAGGATACCAAAGTGAGGATAGCTCTGGACATCATGTTGATAGTCCTTGTGCAGGTATTCTTCGTTCTCGCTTTCATGTCCCCTTCAATTTGGATTAGTAGAGATTGTATTTTTTGATGGAAAGGAGGTTCGAAGAAAGCTGTGATTTGGGCTAAGTTACCCTCTCTCTTGTAGTGAAGTATAGCTAATACTGTCTTTGATTACATACCAGGACACTTCTGTCTTCCGTATTAGATTCTGTCGTACGAGATGTTGGGAGTTAAGTATTGTCGTGGTCCGTGGTATCACCCTTTTTCTTGCCTTTCCAGGTGTTTCACTGCCTTGTTTAGTGTCTTTGAGGCTTGAGGGACCTTTTGTTTGTATTTTTCGAACATAGGAACACTAGCCTTTTAGTGTCATCTCACAAAACTACATTCATGCTAAGAGAAGCACAATTGTCTTCCTATGCTGCCTCCACCTTGTTGTTTGGCAACTAAGAACTGCTCTGTGTTACCTTAGGATGTTACCAATGGGTTCTAAGTTTACTAGTCAATGACCGTAGGGTGTGGAATTTGATCTCAGTATACTGTGTTGGGGTATTGGAGGATTGAACATAGAGTTAGACAACTTCAATGTGAAGTATCATTACCTAAACATACCATGTAATGTTTCAATATTAGCATAAGTCGCTCTATTGGTTAATTAGTGTTATCACATGATTGTACTCTCTTCAAGCAACTTTAACGACTAACTATAGGTTTACTTTCAGATGAGAACAGCAGTCTGGTGTATGAACAATACCAAGCAATCAGTTTGCCTGTTAAGAAAGCATCAAGTGGTGATGCTGATTCTGCCAAAGGTGCTGTTAACAAGGATGACGCTGTTGAGGTCGATTTCAGTAACTACATTCTGAAGTGCAAATCTGTGTATAAGTGCAAGCTTTGTCCCAGAATCATGTGCTTAAGTGAGGAGATGGTCAGGGTACATCTTGAATCAAAGGTATGTAACTCAGAAAGCTACTATAATGTTTCCCACCTGTTAGACGTCAAATGAAGAAGGCTTGCTGTTCTACATATATAAGACAAATGATAAGAGTTACCTCTCTTTGTTGAAAATTCATAAGAGTTACTTGCTGTCACTTGTGAATGCTACTGTTGCCACATTTCTTCATTTTATTTTTTTCTATTTTAGAGACATGCTCGATCAAAGAAACTACTGGGAGAAGGTAGGCTTAAGATGGTGCTCAACAGTGATGGTGAGCTGGAGGAGGAGGCAGAGACACATGCTGAACGACATGCCCGAACTATAGCTCTTGCTCAGGTGTTGGCACTCGTTGAAATTACTGATTTTGTGCAACAGAAATGTTTTCTAAATCTGGATTTGTATTTCATATGGAATTTAATCTGTTTATACCTGCTAAATGTTCAGCAAGTACAAAAGCCCAAGAAGGATTCAGGCAGGCAGCGACAAAATCGGAGAAGACAGAAGGTATGGGATCACATCCTCCGTAGTTGTATTAGCATCTAGGCACAATACACATCGAAGGCTTTTAGGCGCCATATTAAAAGGCAGACTGGACTGCGCTGAAATGATCTCCAGCAGCATGCCATCATGGAGGTTACAGTAAGATGATGGACACAGAATAATCCGATTTTTTTGGCGAACGGATATATATTCATTTTTTTTTGAGAAACCACAATAGTCCAATTTTGTTTGTCCTGTATTGGTCTTAGTTCTTAAAGTTGCTTGGTGCTTCCACACCCACTATCCTGATATTCTTTGCACTGGTTGTTTCTTACAGAGGTCGCAGAATCGTCTCAAGGACAAAGACCAGAGACACAACTCTGGAAAGGAAGGTGCAAGGCCGAACAATGGAACTGCTGATAAGAAAATACCGAATATTGAAACTGCTGCTAAGAAAATGCCGAATCTTGAAACTGCTGCTAAGAAAAGGCGCAAGACTGAAAAATAAGTGGGTGCTGCAGAAATATTTCTTGCGTGTTATTTCTTCCTATATTGTTGTAATTTTTAGGAGCTTTCTGCGGTTTTACTGCTTCTGTTTTGCCTTCCTTTTTGATCCAAGTGTAGCTGATGAAAGCTGAGAGATTAAATTGAAAGGAAATACGACAACTAGAAAGTGGACATCTAATCGTGCATGCAACTTGTTATAAGTTTGCTATTCCCTCCGTCCCAAAATATAAAATCATTTTTGACACTAAGTCCTAATATATAAGATCATTTTTTACACCATCGATAGTGTCAAAAATGATCTTATATTTTGGGACGGAGGGAGTAATTTGTAAGGTTTGACACGGTTGAAGTTTCACCCTCGTATGCTGCTCATGATTTTTGTGTCTGCTTTGGTTCTTCATGCTTGCTTTTGATCTTCGTGTTGCAGTTATTTGTTGGGGGAAGGCATTCTCGGCCATGAGCTTAAATGAAATTTAGCTCTCTTTTTTTATTACATAAAACATGTTTATGTCTTCTAAATGTGTGCAAAATTTTGTGAAGAATGGAATATATTTTGAGCTTTGGAGTTCTCGTTAGGAGACTTTAGGGTCAATGGTATATACAACAACACCCCTGACCCCCAACCACTGGTTCGGGTGCATGGGTGTCCAAAGTGGGGAACCCTCATTGGAGCCCTCACGTAGGGTGAATGGCCAATCAAGCTTCATAGATGTGGGCAATAGTACTGATAAGGTGTGGGCGAGTCTGGAAGTACCAGAGGGGATAGCATTGCGAGAGCATGTTGATGATACTTGTACTAACAAGGTGGGCGAGTCTGGTAGTACCAGAGGGGATAGCACACGAGCTGGTGAACTGCTGATGGATGGAGATTGTTCTGTCTCTACTATCCCGTAGACCCCCCTTATAAAGTGGGACAAGACCTGATCGACTAACCGGCATAGAGCACTAGAGTAGACCTAATTTGTATGTAAAGATGATAGATTTTTTGGAAGGCGCGCTTCACGCGGGAAGAGGGGCCCGGGCTATGCCTCGGCATGTTGTGCCTTGAGGCCGACCTGGTGACCGACTTCTCAGTTAACAGGCCACCCCTGGTACTATGTATCGTCGGTAGCTTTCGGGCTTGTCCTGAATTTGACCGTGCACCCTCTCTGCATCGCCCAGGGCAAAATCTTGACGGTCTCCTTTTTCTCCTTTTGCTAGATGAGTAGATAAAGCTGCTTCATCTTAATTTGGTTTCTCTAACAGCTCGAGGACCGAAAATTGACGGGTTAGTTGGAGTCTGATTTCTTATTCAATTGAACGATCATCCGACTTGCAATCATTCTGATTTCCCTTCCGACGAGGACGATGACCTGTAAGATTCCCATATGGACATGCCGCGAAGCGTTGTGGGTGGCGTGACGTCATCCCTCGCAGCTAGGCTTGACCATCCGGTCAAAAGAGATACGTCGTATCTACCCAGATCAAACGGGTCTGGCCCCACGCAGGGATCAAGGTGTCCTAGGGCTTCACGATGGTCATATCCCAGCATTGCCGTCGTAAGTGTAGGAGAACAACCAAATGCTATCGATTTAGTTTCCTTTTGGCTATGATGGCGCCTTGATCTTTGCGCCTGCAACACGTGTAGTGGGCAAATCTATCGATGCAGTAGGCATGTGCCACCACGCCCAAGCCGGCGCTTGGGCGTCCTGAGCGGCTATAAAGGGGAGGTCACAACAAATGCAGGCTCATTCCACATTTCGTTGCCCGTCCTCTATCTTCTCCTCCTCCCCGTGAGCCTTCCCATCATTGTTGCTAGCTCTTGAGCTGTTCCGTTTCCTCTTATTCCTCTACAACCAAGCCAAAGCCATTCAATGATGTGTAGCGAGGGGTCACAGATGCGACAACAGGGGCAGAAGCGGCGTGGACCGAGGAAGCGGTGGACGGAGCAGCGTTGTTGGCAAGGCCAAAAAGGAGGGTGTTGCCAACAGTACGAAAGGGAAGTGTCTCTCTTCCACCACCAAGTGTAAGCACCTGAGGGATCTTGTGGCAAAGGTGTCGTGGATTTGTCACGTCAGATGTCCTTAGTGTCAGAACTTAGTCGCGAGGCCAACGCATCTATGTGGTAGCTTGAGAGGGGCTGAGCGGAATCGAGAGACGCAACACAAGACAAGGATTTAGACAGCTTCGGGCCCCGGGAAACATCATCCGGTAAAAACCCTACATGCGGTTTGAGGCTAGGTCTCATTATCATCACGAGGGAGTCGCCGTAAACCGACTCTCCTCTTTGTGTCTAGCCCTAAGATTGTTTCTTCTTGCTTGTAGCTTGTCCCTTGTCCCTCTTTGGGGAGCCCTGCCCCTCCTTATATATGTTGAAGAGGCGGGTTACATGTGGAGTCCTATTAGGATTAGGACTAGTCTATCTCTAATACAAACCGGATACAAGTCCAGGTCCTAACTCCTTGTAAGACAAATATTCCTTATGCCTTTCCTCTTAAACCGGCCCACCATAGTATGAACCGGCCTTCATGAACCGCCCGTTGGGCCACCAGGTCTTGTCGCTCCTCGCACCCACCTGCCGGGTTACCAATGAGTCGTGAACCGCCAGGTCCAAACGGGTCGCCCGGTGAATCGCCAAGTGCCAGCGGGGTCTTCAGATAAACCGCCAAGTCCGGCCGGGTTAAACTTCCGGCCGGTTTACGCCGCGGGGTATATCCCCGACATTAGCCCCCAAGTTTAGCTTGGATTTATCCATGGTAAACTTATGCTGCAAAATAAACACAAGAACAAATTTGACAGGTTGTGCTCCGGATTAAGAATTCTTATAAATCGGCATCTGATCATCCTTAGTCCTTGTCATTTCCTCCTAGAAAATCTGGGTCAATAACCTGATGTTGGCTTCTTATAGAAAAAATATTGTGAAGAATAATCCACTTGAGTCGGCTTCCAAAGCACCGGTTTAAGAAATATTGGTCTTGAAGTATTCATCTGATATTCAACCGGTTTGAAGATGTAGAACTTGCCAGTTTTATCATTGCCAAAGACTGTCGGGTTGCAGCCACAGGGTCATAATGATTGGTGACGCCGGTTCAACCTAGTTTGCTCAATCAGAGAATTTGAAAATATTTATTCCATAATAATATAATACCTGTAGCCCCCAAGTCTTTGAGCAGAACAAAGTGGTGGCTTAAGACTTTTGCTTTAATATAAATACTGCCACTTTCAAAGAAATCCATGTTGTTCATCCCAGTGACTAGTAAAAACTGAATACTCCATACTATGTAGCCCCCAAGTGCCGGGTTGTCATGCTTGCAGCAACCTGGGACTTGTAATTGTCTTATACTCATAAAAACTTCAACCAGTGTAGCCCCAAGGGCCGGGTCATTATGCAATAATGAGCAGGGACTTTGTAGGTATAATCATGTAGATTTGAGCAATGATGTGTAGCCCCCAAGAGCCGGCTCAGTAAAATAATTTTGAGCTGGGACTTAATATATACTTCAATGAAAATAACATCATATGATGTAACCCCCATCATGGGACTTGAATCCACGTCCACAAGGTTAAGAGCCTTGTGCTTTACCAACTGAGCAGTGGACCCTTCAATATAATGAATAAAAAGCTTTGTACCTTCAAGTGTCATGGTGCATGCTTGTAGCGACATGAGACTTGCACATTTGATGTAATCTCAATTTAAATAATGTAGCCCCCAAGTGCCGGGTCGTAAGCCTGCAGCGACTCGGGACTATTCCTTCAATTGTAGAATAAATCATATCCATTAATAATATGATAACCATTGCGCTAAAAGCGACTTTGAAAACCTCAATTATCATATTGGTTATTGATAACCATAATAAAAATCCAGCCGTGTTGGCTATTCAAGATAATATAATCTGGTATGGAAAACCTTATTCATTCAATATCATAATGAAAATTCAGCCAAGTTTGGCTATTTGAATAATATAACGCAATGATTTATAAGCGCATGATTCCAATGGCGCAATCCAAATATGTACTGGCGACTTATAGTCCAAAGCCAGGCCGGGTTAACAAACACCGGATAATTTATCATCATGCTTTATTCAACCTGTCTCTGCATACAACAAGTTTAAAGTGTCCTGGCGGTTTACCGCCGGACGGGTCATAATGCCCAACATATAACCCAGGTTTGTAACCAAGGCTGCACTTAAGAATAACCAATGAAATATATCATACCTGTGACATTGAATCACATCATTGGTTTACCAACTTTTTGTAGTAATGGTGATAACTCCAATCTTGAGTAATGATATCTCCTTTCACATTGTGCCGGTTTATGATAAAACCGTACCGGGATGTGATAAACACCGGTTTAACCATATATAATACTGGCGACTCGTAGTCAAACCAGACCGGGCGGATAGTCTCTGGATTATGATTTGATCATGTGCTGACAATTTGTAATTGAAAGTCAAGCCGGGTTAATGAACACCGGTTTACTCCATAATAAGATGGTAACATAAAATCAAACCGGGCAGATAGTCTCCGGATTAGGATTTAACCGTGTTCCGCCAATTTGTAATTGACAGTTTGAACCGGATTAACAATGTCGGTTTAAAAAACGCAACAAAAAAAATCAAATAACAGTTATGAAAAAATATAGAAGCAAAGGCAATAATAAAAACCGTTTGCAAAAACATGCTTTACTGAGCTGATCAGATGGTGTTACCACGGTCGGACAGGACCAAGCCCCCAATAGGAGTGACAATGGTTCAAGTCAGCCAGGTCCCCAAATGAAACCGTGGCATTTATGCCGATCAAAAGGCGTGGCAATGGTTCGGGTTCGACCAAGCCCCCAAGTGATTCTGTGGCCTTAGGCCGATTAAGAGGCGTGACTGGTTCAGACTTGACCATGTCCCCAAGTGATCTGGTGGCTTTCGCCTATCAAAAGGTGTCGCATTGGTTCGGACACGACCAAGGCCCCAAGTGATATCACAAAGCTTTTTTGAAAAGCAAATTTCAAGGGGTAAATCGGAGGCCGCT